ATTCCACACGTCCCGAATTCGACACGTCCCAAACTTGACACGCCCCGAATTCCACACGTCCCGAATTCGACACGTCCCAAACTTGACACGCCCCGAATTCCACACGTCCCGAATTCGACACGTCCCAAACTTGACACGCCCCGAATTCCACACGTCCCGAATTCGACACGTCCCAAACTTGACACGCCCCGAATTCCACACGTCCCGAATTCGACACGTCCCAAACTTGACACGCCCCGAATTCAATTGATCAGCAAGTGATAATCCGAAAGCGAAGAAGCGAAAGACGCAGAAAATAAAGCGATTCCGACAGGATGCACCCGTAAGGTTGGTCGTCGTTTACCATCCGCGATCAAAGTGCGGAGCACGGCTTTATGAATATGTAAAGTCCGTTAGAGGCGTTTCCAGCACACGAAACTGTTTGCACAACGTATCAAATATTGACAGTGCTCCGGCAAATTTATTCGCCGGCTGAAATAATGTATCGTGCACGGCCGATAAAATCGAATGTCCCACGCGCGCCTTAACGCCAACCTCCGCGTCGATCCACCAACCCCTGTGCGTTGAATTTATCATCGTCGATCGCCGCCTGTCGTTCTGCCCGTATATTGCGATCCAGTAAATTTGCTAGCCGATTAAAACTCTCCTTCGAACGTCGATCTTACGCGTGCTTGTGTCCCGCGATAACAAACCGAATTTCCTCTTTAAGTGACGTTCGGAGAGTCTGACGATTTTGTGAGGGAGATTGAGTGGTTTTGAGGAAGTTATTTTGGATATGGCTTGAAGGAATAATGAGGATTTGGAATTTAAATTGGGGGTTGTTTGCAAATGGGTGTAGGGAGTGTATCGAATTGGGAAGTGTAATTGTTAGTATGGGAGGCTTGGAAGTCTCTGTGTACCAAACTTGTCACGTACTGAGTTCACAGGTGTGCGAATCCACACGTCCGGAGTCCACACATGACCAAATCCATACGTCCCGAGTCCACACATGACCAAATCCACACGTTCCTAATTTGACTCGCCCCGAACTTGACACGCCCCGAATTCAACAAATCTCGAACTTGACACGCCCCGAATTCGACACGTCCCAAACTTGACACGCCCCGAATTCCACACGTCCCAAACTTGACACGCCCCGAATTCCACACGTCCCAAACTTGACACGCCCCGAATTCCACACGTCCCAAACTTGACACGCCCCGAATTCCACACGTCCCAAACTTGACACGCCCCGAATTCCACACGTCCCAAACTTGACACGCCCCGAATTCCACACGTCCCAAACTTGACACGCCCCGAATTCCACACGTCCCAAACTTGACACGCCCCGAATTCCACACGTCCCAAACTTGACACGCCCCGAATTCCACACGTCCCAAACTTGACACGCCCCGAATTCCACACGTCCCAAACTTGACACGCCCCGAATTCCACACGCCCCGAATTCCACACGCCCCGAATTCAACACGTCCCAAACTTGACACGCCCCGAATTCCACACGTCCCGAATTCGACACGTCCCAAACTTGACACGCCCCGAATTCGACACGTCCCAAATTTGACACGCCCCGAATTCCACACGTCCCGAACTTGACACGCCCCGAATTCGACACATCCCTAACTCCTCACATCCCCAAGTTCCCACATCTCCAACTTCTCACATCTCCAAAATCTAAAATTTCCACATCTCCAAATCCCAAAAATTTGAAATCCCGAAATTGAGTCAGCAAAAATAATGATATTACAAATTGCCTATTAAACTCCCGCTTATCGAGCAATCGTATCCGACTTTCGAGAAAGCTTTCCCAAGCTATCCCGCAGAAACTCGGAGTAACAGACAAGAAACGGGAGCTCCGTTTCCAATAAAATGGACGAGATAGAATTACGAGAGGACATATTTCTCGCAAAGCTTCGCGGTTCATTTTGCCAAGATATTTCGAAAGCGTTGGAGGTTAGGTTGAAAGAACGTCGCGCAATAAAGGGACGGAGACAACGGTCGATCTTAAAAGGCAAGATAGTGAAAACAGAGGAAACAAGATCAAAGGAGATCTGTCGGAAACGGAGGAACAATCAAAAGAAAATACACTCGGAAAAAGGAGCGGCGATGGAAAGTGAGGAAGTGGCGGCAATAAGAAATGTACAATTACAGATGCGAAAGTCGAGTTTTCACGGAAATCTGTATTCCATTAAAGACTGTTGTTTACGTGAAAATAATCCTTCACGACGGTTCTCTTTCCCATGCCATTGTACGGTTTTCTTTCTTCTTTCCCTCCTTGAATTATCACCTTTTCATTTTCCTGCTTTTGAACTTTGTATTTTTGCTACAAACAATAGCTTTTAATTCCCCTGAAGATGTTTTTCTTCGTCATTAGATCCTTTCATCACCAAAGGACATTATTGAATTTCTTTGTTACGAATACTTGTTTCTTCCCACCTGAATGGCGAAGCAATTTGTTTTTACGGTTTTTCGAACCCAGAATATAATTGTCATTTATAACTGAAATTTTATTGGATTTCTATTCGAAGGAAAACGTTCTCTTTTCATTAGAAGAGTGCCGCTTTGGTTTTCCGCGAAATTTAATAAATCGAGCACAGAGGATTGATCAAATATTAATTAAACTTTCTGTATTTTCCGAGAAGATTATAAATTAACACAAATACGTATTTGATCCTGTTGCTGATATTTCAATTCACATTAAATTATTTAGAATACGTATTAATTTATACTCGCATATTTACCTCAGACCATTTTATTCTCCGAAGCAATTTTTTAATCCACGCACATTGAATTCCCTTTTAAACCACTTTCTACAGAGAACAGCGTTTTCCAATCTGGAAATTTTCGAACGCCCATTCAGATATTCTGATTTTCCCGGCGGAAGTGGGCGCAGGTAAACGGTGATTCCAACGAAGGGAAACGGCGCGAACTGCTCGCAGGAGTATGGTGACGCGTGATTTGTTGAATTATGACCGAGGCTGACACTCGCCGCAACGATCATGCTCACATGTGTCCCAGACCCTGTATTAGCATACTAAATCCGATTGACGTACTCGGCTCGCATGAGCTTCTCGTTTTAATTACCTCAAACGCGATACGTCGCGTGTCGTCGAACAGATAACGCTCCGCGAGTCCTGTTCAAAGGATTTCACAGGAAAACCAGCTTGTTTGAACTGCGCCGGTGTCAGCTGCGATTGGAACACTTCGACGTTCCATATTTGCAAATACTCCTTGTTTGCCTTGAATTTCAAGATCAAATCCGGGAATTGTAAATACCAGACGCTGATATTTACGCTTATATTCTCCATGTGTGATTTCGGGAGATCCATTTTCAAGTTGATTTGCTGATAAGAAGCTAATGATTTGCTCCTTCAAATTGTTTTTTATTTAAATTTGTTTAAATGCGTAATATTGGTTCCCTTTTAAATATTGAGTGAAGTTTGAATTCACATATTCTAGCTTGAATTTAAATATTCTACCCTGAACCTTTGGGTTTCCTCAAACATCTCAAGCATGTGTGATTTCGAGAGATCCAATCAATTTGGTGATCATAAGAATAATGATTTGTTTCTTTAAAAATTTTTTTATTTAAATTCATTTAAATGCATAATATTGGTTCCCTTTTAAATATGATCATATTGAGTGAAGTTTGAATTCACATATTCTACCTTGTATTTAAATATTCGATGCCTTGAACTGAACGTCTTGATCCTGAACATTTTAACGCTACCTTAAGTTTAAGATAGAGTTTTTTATTTAAGGTAAAGTTACTCCACAAGTGTCTGATTACAAAATACACATTTTGTTAAAAATTCCTTGAAATGTTGCATTGATTTTCATCAAGATAAAAGATAAACATATGTTCTATTTTATGTTTCGTCGTTTGTTTATTTATTTATTAACTTCATTTTTAATATCAAATTAAGTGTACACTATATACCTAGCTTCAGTGTTTGAATTCACATTCTAGCTTGAATTTTAAATATTCTTAAAATATCTACTTTAAATATCTTCCAAAAATAATGTATTTCTTATATAAACATTAAGTCTCTCGTTGTAAATAGTTTATCGAAAATCAATTCAGTACCCACAGCAATTAACCCTGACGTGTTCATTACTCCGGTAAACTCGAATAATAGCCCTCAGCCTTTTATATAAAAAACGCCGACGAAAGCAAAGTCTCGATCTTGAAACCCGAGTACCCTTAATGACCAATAGAGAGAACGGCGCGTAAAGAGACACTCAAAGAGAAAAATCAAAGAGCCTTAATAACTATTGTCACGACGTGGCCACTTTTGCCTCTGTCTAGGGTGCCGCGAAATATAAATCGACATCAGACGAACAGTCGATAAATCGAAGCTTCAGCCGGGATGGAAAGGGTTGGATATAGGGTGGCGAAAAGCCCGTCCGCTTGTGAAATGTTAATTCTCTGTCTACGGAATGATCGAATCATTTTTAAACTTCATTTTCTGCTTATTTGACACTGCGATATTTCGATCTACTTTTGAACGTGGGACTGTTTATCCTTGAATTTTTGTATTATTTCAAAATGGTGGACTGTTGGACTCAGATTCTAGGATCCCTTAATAGTGAAAACACTCTAAGTTCTTCCTAGACTTTTCCAAAGAGGGAACTCATCCAAATTTGAACTCTTAATCCTCAGATTCCGATATTCTTAGTTTCTCCCAAACTCTAAACTCCCTTGGTATCCCTAAACCCCCAAACTTCAAATCCTAAACTCTGTCATATCATTAAGATCTCCATAAATTGAGGATCACCATAAAGACAATCAAGAAATCTTGCAAGTTAGTATCCATTTGTTAGGGAAATGGGTAGACTATCACACGTCAGTATAATCACGCCTGAACTAACTGATAATCTTTTACTACCCCGTCAGAACTTCACAGAACACCGCTGATAAATGACCGTTTAAAGATGCTAGACGTAAACTATCGAGTGTCAACGTAGCTGATCGATCATGAGGATAATTTTATTGATTACAGCCGGCTCGAGGGATAGCGGAGGAAGAAGGTATCCAGTGATCGTTTTCGTCCACGGAGAGAGCTACGAATGGAGCAGCGGCAACCCCTACGATGGCAGCGTCCTTGCCAGCTACGGGGGTGTCGTCGTCGTCACCATAAATTACAGACTAGGCATTCTGGGTGAGTGATTCCATATTTCTTCTATACTGCTGCTTTCTGTCATAATATTTCCAACTTTATTATCGAAAGCTTCATCCTTTATGATTTATGGCGTGTTTAAGGGACTTTATTTTTCTGACACTTTTATGATGATTCGTGGTCACTTGGATCAAGTGTTCAAGTGGTCAATCAACTTGGATCAACTCCTTGTCAGGTGACACGTGTGACTCATATTTTCATACGTGTCAGAATTCACGTGTCACATAGAATTTTGGGATCTGAGGGCTAACATTTTTTCTTCAGCTGTCTTTGCGTTGGAGGATTAGCTAGAAGGCAACTGTTCAGTTATCTCAACTGCACAACGAACTTATGTTTTTAATTTGTACCGAACCCCACAATTCCTTAGATACCTAGCTCCATATTCCCAATTCCCTGTGTCCACATCCTTACATCTCCAATTACCCATACTCTGAGTCACTACATACCCAATTCTCTATGTCCCCAATTCTCCACATTCCCAATTCCCTATACTCCCAAACTCCCACATTCCCAATTTCCTAAACTCCCATCAAGCACCCGGACCTCCAAATCTTCAGATCTTCAAATTCTCAAATTTCTGACCCTCCAAGTTTCCCAACATAGGCCAACATAGGCTTTATGTCCCTAATTCTCCACATTCCCAATTCCCTATACCCCCAAACTCCCACATTCCCAATTTCCTAAACTCCCATCGAAGCACCCAGATCTCCAAGTCTTCAGATCTTCAAATTCTCAAACTTCTGACCCTCCAAGTTTCCCAACATGGGCCAAAATTTCCAAAACAAGTCTCCAACTGACCAGATCTCCAAATCTGCCGACCTCCAAGTTCCCTAACCTCCAAATTCCCTACCCTAAAAATTTCCACGTAAACAACGTCTCACTGACCCAGTTAAATCTTAATATTCCAGTTCCAGTTTTTCCCAGTACCGTCCTAACAGAAACGAATAACTAGTTTCGTGTACCAGTCGCCATGCTAATGACTCAGGTCTGATCGGGAAGGGTTGTAACCGGCGTTCGCACCCCTGCAGAAGTTCACGCACGTAATTAAGGCGGCGTTCGAGGCGCTAACGATCGGCTTCTGTGTCGTTCGCCGGATGTAGAATTTCCAGAAACTGGGTGACAAAGTTTAAACTCGCTGCCAGCTCGTCAAGGGGATCGGAATTAATTCGACCCCGTAGACATTGTCTGTTACCGAGGGGGGGCTGAAATCGAATTTTCTACGGAGACGGTGTGCCTCGTGAAATTCCTCGGCCGGGGGGGTTGATGAACCCCCGGTTGAACGGCCGCGGTGAAACCGGGGCGTCAGAGAGGTATAATGGGTCCGCTTATTTTGTCGCCTGGGCGAAGAAAACGCGTGAGAATTTAATTACGTCGACGTGGAATTTGATGGAATTTTCTTGAAGCTTAATCTCAGTCCTGAAACAATCTGTAGCGGGAAAATTGTGTAAGCCTCTTAGGCATTAACGTCCGCTATAAAAGGATCTTTAATCCGGGGAAACTGATGGCCCGGGAATAAATTAATTTCAGTTTTCGTCTTATTTCGTTTGTTAAGCCTTTTAAGAGATCGGTAAGTTAGCCTTCGAGATACAAGTTCCATCAATTGTCACAAAATGTGGATTCAAACTCCGCACAGAAGCATATACAGGTTATCTCACAATTAGTGTAGGCCCTTTATCTTCATTCACTCAACTTATGTCGTAGACTTAGAAAGATTCTTCTAATTTCACCTCACAATTAAGTGAAAGATGTCTTAGAAATCAAATTGTCGAAGGTTCACATGAAATACAGAAACTGAGTAAACGTGAGATTTGAAAAAGATGAAGTCCCCGGTGAACGAAATCTAATAGGAAACTCATTACTAGGTCTTCCGTTTTGCGAAACTAAATTCTTGAGTCTTCGTTTCCGAGAGAGGCGGCTTTGACGATATACGCTGCACGTTATGATATTCGAGCAACGTCAGCGCGATTCTTCGACGCTCAATGAGGACTCCGACGACAGAGCACGTACTCCTGGTGACGGACGTCTACGGAGATTAATCGCAGTTTTACGCGAGCCATCGTCGGTTAACTTCTTGCAATTTATTCTTCGATTTGATAGTAGTTTGACAAAATTTTATTTGACGCGCGGTTCAGTTTGAACTCGATTCAAGTTTGATTCAATCTGGCAAATAAAAAGTTAGGCAACAGACGATATGAACGATTTGACGAACACAAAGGTCCGATGCAATAATGACAGATGGTGAAATATCCTCTGCAATTTGAATATAAATGAAACTTGAACAATCCTTTTGTAGAGTAAAATAAATTGCGCCCATTCGAAAACTCATTTCCGTAGCGCGTTATAAATGCGCGAAAACAAAGCTGAAAAATATTACAATATTACAGGAAGCCTCTGTCGAAATAATATCGAGTGAAATCACCACGTGCAGGTTTTTATTGTTACCGCGCAGATTAAATATTTTCGTTCCACTTGTCAAGTTGCAGAAAGAATAATTGGAGGGATATTCAACTCTTCGGGCAAACAGATTCCAGCGGAAACCAGCTGGACGGCATAAACCCGAATTTTTAAGCTTGGCCAGCGTTAATTTTCCATGGAAATGAAGCGGAATCCAGTTTCGCAATGTCACGAACGCGTTTCCTTTTTTTTCATTACCGTTTCTCTGCTGTCCCTTGAAGTGACGTGGCTCCGCGTGTTACACGCCGCATGCGGCGCACGCTGTAACAAGGTTCCGTTTCTTGAATTACATTCCAACCGTTTTTGTACATCACTGGGATTTTCGTTTAACGCTGAATATTGTCACGAGAAATTTAAACCTCCATTACAATTTTTACCGAGAAATTTTCACTTTACAAAATATCTCTGTCGAGCTTTTGTTTAAATAATGAGGTTGTTTAAAATCGAAATTGACTAATTATTTATTGGGTAGGTTTTTGTGGAATGAAGATAAAAGGTGAGAACGATAAAATTTCATTGGTTAATTCAGATGTCTCTCGAACGCCTTAGTTCACGTATTGAACGCTAGATGTCTCTGCACGTCGTGTTTCTCGCAAGTGCTCCATTCGAAGATTGTCACCCAGCAACACAACAGTCTAAGACAATTCTCGTTGCATCAATCTATTGACAGAGTGCTTCGACAATTCTCAATTCAATAGGTTTCATGCTTTGTGACTCGTTCCAATTCAACTCGATTAAATTTAATTGCAATTTGATTAGAAATCCCATTCGACAATTACTCAAGTTTCAAATATTTGCAAGTTTCAATCTGACTTGATGTTCAACATTCAAGTTTTATTGAAATCTTCAGCCATGTTTGAATGCAAGCTTTTTTAATTCAATTCTGTATTTTATTTCCCTTTGAAATTGCAAAAATTAAAAAAGGTTTGAAAATGTTTTCCGACTATCAACTCTTCAATTTCCGATTGTCTCTGTTTTTAACTGGAATGAAAGAGGGTAATAAAACGAACATTCGTAACAGAAAAAGCGATGGATTCGTTTGGTGCAGGCGAGGCTGAAAAGTAGCATTGCGTGTCAGCCGTAAAATAAAGAAATTTCGTAGTTTGAAAATATTGCATTGAAATGGAACGTGCTATGAGTTAGGGGAACGAAATTTCGTTCGATGAAAAAGTAACGGGTGGCAGTGCGAATTGCTGCGTTCCATTATGCCACTTGCGAAACTAATAAACCAAATTTTGGAAACACAATCGACCCGTTTGTTGAATGACAAACATTCAATCGCGACCTTACATTATTGAAATGATACTGTTATACAAAACTTGAAGCACGAACCACTATAGCACGTTAAAAAAGAGGAAACCACTTGAAACCCATAACTCATCGAGTACATGTCGTTCGATGAAAAAAAATTGGCCAACTGGTCTTCAAAGGATCACACTCGAACAGTATGAAAAAAAAGGGAGTAAGGGATTGGAGTCGCGTAAAATATCGAAATTTGATTCCATCGTTGCTCTGTTCAAACGGAAGAGGGCTCGGTTTCAGGAAGCACATTCCTCTCGCGGCCGCAATTTTCACTGTTCATTTTTCTCGTTTTTCTTCGGCCGGCAAAAGTGACGCGGCGCTTTGTACCGAATGGGGAGCGACGCTGGGAGGGATGGAAAAACGGGGGGGTGCGATATCCAACAGCCGCGGCTATGCACACCCATGTACCGGAAAATTTAAATCAACGAGTAACGTTCAGCAGTTCCATTGTAACGAGAAGAATAGGAGACACGGAAGTGCAGCGCGACAGATACGCCGGAGGTTGAATATCAAATGGGATATGACCAGTGGTTTATTTCTATTCTAGTTTCACGCGTATCGCCCACCATCCCCCTCCAGTTTACCCTCCCTGATAAGCAGTGCCTTTTTCAATCCCGGTATTTATTCCCTTTCTGTATTTTCGTCGGAAGATCTGTTCAAGTCTCTACCATCTTCTTTTTTTATTTTTACAAGCGCTGAGTACTTTGAGCGGTAAGGATTCCACGCGCTGAGTATACTAAGCGCTAAGTATTCCACGCGCTGAGTACTCTAAGCGCTAAGTATTCCACGCGCTGAGTACTCTAAGCGCTTAGTATTCCACGCGCTGAGTACTCTAAGCGCTTAGTATTCCACGCGCTGAGTACTCTAAGCGCTTAGTATTCCACGCGCTGAGTACTCTAAGCGCTTAGTATTCCACGCGCTGAGTACTCTAAGCGCTTAGTATTCCACGCGCTGAGTACTCTAAGCGCTTAGTATTCCACGCGCTGAGTACTCTAAGCGCTTAGTATTCCACGCGCTGAGTACTCTAAGCGCTTAGTATTCCACGCGCTGAGTACTCTAAGCGCTTAGTATTCCACGCGCTGAGTACTCTAAGCGCTTAGTATTCCACGCGCTGAGTACTCTAAGCGCTTAGTATTCCACGCGCTGAGTACTCTAAGCGCTTAGTATTCCACGCGCTGAGTACTCTAAGCGCTTAGTATTCCACGCGCTGAGTACTCTAAGCGCTTAGTATTCCACGCGCTGAGTACTCTAAGCGCTTAGTATTCCACGCGCTGAGTACTCTAAGCGCTTAGTATTCCACGCGCTGAGTACTCTAAGCGCTTAGTATTCCACGCGCTGAGTACTCTAAGCGCTTAGTATTCCACGCGCTGAGTACTCTAAGCGCTTAGTATTCCACGCGCTGAGTACTCTAAGCGCTTAGTATTCCACGCGCTGAGTACTCTAAGCGCTTAGTATTCCACGCGCTGAGTACTCTAAGCGCTTAGTATTCCACGCGCTGAGTACTCTAAGCGCTTAGTATTCCACGCGCTGAGTACTCTAAGCGCTTAGTATTCCACGCGCTGAGTACTCTAAGCGCTTAGTATTCCACGCGCTGAGTACTCTAAGCGCTTAGTATTCCACGCGCTGAGTACTCTAAGCGCTTAGTATTCCACGCGCTGAGTACTCTAAGCGCTTTGTATCCTACGCGCTGAGTACTCTAAGCGCTAAGTATTCCACGCGCTGAGTACTCCAAGCGCTAAGTATTCCACGCGCTGAGTACTCTATGCGCTAAGTATTCCACGCGCTGAGTACTCTAAGCGCTAACTATTCCACGCGCTGAGTACTCTAAGCGCTAACTATTCCACGCGCTGAGTGCTCTAACGTGGGTATCCCAAGCGTTGAGTACTCTAAGCGCCAAATATTCCATGCGTTGAGTACTCTAACGTGAATATCCCAAGCGCTGAGTGCTCTAAGCGTTAATTCTACCTATTACAAGTAATAAGTCCTAAGTATTAAATGTAACTCTATAATCCCTCCTTCGTTCCTTACTTTTCAAAGACACAATTGAGAACATAAAGTACTTGTTTCTTCAATGTTCTTTCGCTTCCCGCGCATTTTCCTTCTAATTAGCCTTGAGCCTCTTATTATCAAAGTCCTTTTGCTTCATTCCTTCAATCGGTAATGCTTGTAAATTATGGAAAACGAAGTTCCGCTTTTTTTCCACCCTCGTCTTCCCTAAGAAACTTCTCATTTTGCACTCAAGAGTGACTACAGGTTCAAGAAAACGCTGTTTAATATTCTCCTAATAAATTTTCATGTATTCCCTTATCAAAATCTTGCAATTTTATTTTTCACCACAAAATGTAGATCTAAGAGCCTTTTGGGCGACCCTATATTATTCTTCCCGCGCTTTCTAACCTCATTTACATCTTCCATAAAACTCGCGATTTTTTTCAATCCTGTTATTGCAGTCTTCCCCTTTCGCTAAAAATTGAAGGAAATGTTTCTCCCCTTTGTTTCTCCACGCCACGGAATTTCGTTGTATTTTTTAATTTCGAACGAAGTTTGGATCTTTGTGCTTCTTTTTTTGTGGCTACAATTGACTGAAGATTGAAGAAGAAGATTTAGTGTTCTCTCTCAGCACGCTACTTTCTCGAGTATTATCGTAATTTATTCTCCCTGCTTTTCATCCGAAATTAACTTCAGATTGAACGAAGACTCTTTCGATTTCTTTTCTTTCGGAACGATGCGTTCGCGTGACGGAGGCTCGCGTGCATTTGGCGATCCACCCGAGCCACGATATCGCCGGAAACATTGCAAACACGATTGTATCATTAGTATTTTATGCGTACGAATAGTCCCGTGTGTCGGAAGTGTAATTAGGGGTGGCTCAGATCCGGTCATCAAAGCGCTCATAATTCGTCCCGCAAGATAAACGCGCAACAGTTTAGAAACACACCACCGATCTTGCTTTTAATTTCAAACTTATTTCTCAGAAGAACCATTATCTCGCGATGCATGAAATGAAGATTTTAAAATGCAATCGTACAAAATACGTTTCATAACGCTTACGGAAGCGTCATCGATCAAATGTAACGCGGCGAAGCGTACAGGAAGCTTAGAAAATCGCGATGCAATATATTATCACGGGAAATTGAGAATCGCGCATGCATATTCAACAAGGATTGTTTAGGACGTATGCGCTGCTTTATATCTCGTTTTCATCGATCATTTTACAACTCTACGGATTCATCATACACGTCAGAAGCATTTGTTAACGTCTCTATGTTAACGAATGAACACTTTCTTTGGTCATTTGTTAAGTCGTTTTGTTATGCTCCGTTATCTACGCTTGTCATTTATCAAATGCTGAAACTGGGACAACTTTGTTTCAGCGAGAGCTTATTTTATTTGTGACTTTATTTCGGACTGGAAATTTGGCGCTTGGAATAGTTTAGAGCATGTTGCGATTGGAGTGCGTGAAATTAAATTGGTGTAAAGCACTCAGCGTTTAGAATACTTAACGCTTAGAGCACTCAGCGCTTAGGAGGACCACGTTAGAGTACTTAACGCGTGGAATACTTAACGCTTGGAGCACTCAGCGCTTGGGATACCCACATTAGAGTACTCAGCGCGTAGAATATTTAACGCTTGGAACACTCAGCGCTTGGGATACCCACGTTAGAGTACTCAGCGCGTAGAGTACTTAACGCTTGGAGCACTCAGCGCTTAGGAGGTCCACGCTAGAGTACTCAACGCGTAGAATACTTAACGCTTGGAGCACTCAGCGCTTGGGATACTCACGTTAGAGTACTCAGCGCGTAGAATATTTAACGCTTGGAGCACTCAGCGCTTAGGAGGTCCACGCTAACGCATAGAATACTTAGCGCTTAGAGCACTCAGCGCTTAGAATACCCACGTTGGAGCACTCAGCGCTTGGAATACCCACGTTGGAGTACTCAACGCGTAGAATACTTAACGCTTAGAGCACTCAACGCTTGGAATACCCACGTTGGAGCACTCAGCGCTTGGAATACCCACGTTGGAGTTCCCTACGCAAAGAATATTTAACACTTAGAGCACTCGACGCTTGAAATACCCACGATAGAGTACTCAGCGCCTCTAACACTTAGCGTTCAAAGCACTCAGCGCCTAAGATACCCAAATTATCATAGTCCACGCGTCGAGTACTTAACACCTAGAGTTCGCAGCGCTTAGAATACCCGAGCTAGAGTACTCAACGCACAGAATACTTAGCACTTTGAGTACTCAGCGCTTTGGGAGCTTAGCAAATACAGTATCTACTGCTTAGAACATCCTGCGTTTATAATAACTAATTTTGTAACTGCATCCACAGTGCTTATACTACACAATTTCTGAATTCATGATGCTTAAAGAGTTGAAATATAAAGTACAATGCTAATAAGGAATTAAAATGAAATGCTCAAGGTAAATACATTATTATAGATCTTAGTTGCTTTGAAAGTTAAAATTGCTCAAGTCTTCGGTTCTTAAGTGTTCAGCTTATAGTATCAAACTCATTAAACTCTTTATAGCGTACGCGTTGCAACAGATGTCTGAAGTCATCAGAGCGAAGTTGAAACTCGATATACGTAATTGAACTGTTATAAAATCGTGAATGTATAATACGAGAGAAGTTAGTTTTCCTAGCTTTGAAAAGCTACACCGCTTGTGTACCGAAAAAAGAGAACTTTCGAAATTACCATACCATTATTCCGCACGGTGTTTTTATCTTGAACGTTTTATCCGGGGAAAAAAACCACGCAATTCGTAATAATGCCTTTCCTAGAACGATGTACCACTATGAATTTGGTCCACGTTTTCCGAGCAACCGAAACAAAACGTTTTGTTTGCTACGAACGACACCCAAAGCGACATAAAAAATTCCATCGACAATAGCGGCAGAATGACGCGTTCGTTAATAGTTGCGAAAACCATTTCCGTTCCAACGAGGGGAAAAATCGCGGGAAAATTCTGGGGACCGTCGGGTCCAATTAAACAACGATGAATCCGGAACGCGATGTTCGTCGATCAAATAATCGAACGATTTATTCGCTGCTACCATCGCAGACGTGTTCTATTTTACATATCGTTCGATCGTTAGACGTATCAGTCTGGACCACTCTAACCGTATTTATGGCACACGGAAACGCGGAGGACGATGAGTTTGGATCGATATCTAGGCTTAAGATTTATGCTTCGATGCTGTTGGCTCATGTGCATTCACATACCATTGTCTATCATTACAGTACTTTATTTTAAATTTAATTATCATCTTATGCATGTAAGGGTATTTTTGGATTCTGCTTTGTAAGTTCGAGATTTGAAGGTATTTTCAGGATACCGAAATCAAATTTCACAAATTCCCAAGGCACAGAATGTTAAAGCTTGCAAGTTTCATGACTAAGGTCCTAAGTCTGAACGTCTAAAAATTTCTAAGTCCCAAACTTCCATGGTCCTACCAATACTCTCACAAATTCGAACCTTTACAAGTTCCAAAGCTATCAAATTTCAAACCTTCACGAGTTCCAAAGCTATCAAATTCAAACCTTCACGAGTTCCAAAGCTATCAAGTTTCAAACCTTCACAAATTCCAAAGCTATCAAATTTCAAACCTTCACAAATTCCAAAGCTATCAAGTTTCAAACCTTCACGAGTTCCAAAGCTATCAAGTTTCAAACCTTCACAAGTTCCAAAGCTATCAAGTTTCAAACCTTCACGAGTTCCAAAGCTATCAGATTTCAAACCTTCACAAGTTCCAAAGCTATCAAATTCAAACCTTCACAAATTCCAAAGCTATCAAATTTCAAACCTTCACAAATTCCAAAGCTATCAAATTCAAATCTCCCCAAGTTCCAAAGCTATCAAATTCAAACCTTCACAAATCCAAAATCCCAAAAATCCCGAATTCCCAAAATCCCAAAAATTGAAGTCCTCAAGTTCCCAAAATTCCAACCCTCCAAAGTTCCCGAAGTCTACCTCGAATATTTAATTAAAAACAGAATTGTGCGATTGTGGCAATTCACGACGGTGCAATTTGAGTTAAGCGTAATTAGTATGGGGTTGTGGTAATTTCGGTAGCGGTAACAAGCCTCCCTTCGGACGACAGCGGCCATAAGCGAGCTTGTTTTCATTACAGGCTTTCTAAACGCCAACACGGATTCGCACTTACGGTCTCCGGCGAATTACGGGCTGATGGATCAGATCGCGGCGTTGCACTGGGTGCAGGAGAACATCGGCTACTTCGGTGGTGATCCTAGGAACGTGACGTTGATCGGCCATGGGACTGGTGCCGCTTGTGTCAACTTCCTGATGACCAGTCACGCTGTGCCTGATGGTGAGCCTTCTTCTTTTCCTTTACTGTTATTCTGTTCATTCTTTGCCTGTCAAGATTAAAAGCTTTAGACTAAGGCTAAAATTCTATAGACTCAGAGAATTCGAGACAGAATGCTTTTATCAGGAAAATTTGTGGAAGACAAGATAAGTTGCAAATCTTAAATTATAGTTTTATTAATTATGGAGGAATTGTACATTTTAGACTGAAATTATATATTTCTATATTTAATATGTACCAGATACTTAATCGTTCTTTAATTGATTAAGTGACGTTCCTTAATAGTCTTAATATTTTAATAATTTTACAAGGAACAATTGATAAATATATATTGAAGGTACTATTAAATTTATGCAAAATGGCATTCATGTGATTTGGTCGATGACTCATGAGAGAATATAATGTACAAGTTTATTATACGTTCCCATACTCATATTAATTTGGACCACATCAGAATCTTCGCAGCATCAAAGAGTTCAATACATTTATGCAGGATCGATCGCTATCGACGAGCAACTCCCAAGTACTAATTAGAATTTGAAGTTTCCTTGCTCCACAAAGTTGAATTGGAAAAGTGAGCCAGTTCTTAATCTCAGAAACAGCAAAACTTCCCCGCTGAACCCAGTTCACTTGGCAGACCATTAAGTCATTCCATCAATGATATTTAAAAGAAAAACTTGTCCACTAATGAAAACTTTTGCTCTCGATCTCCATTAAACTGTCCATCTGTACCACGATCGCTTCCATCTTGTTAACCATGAATCAACACTCGAAACTTCAATCATATCGATTGAATAACCACCTTACGATAAAACTTACAGGCTAAAATTTTCTTAAAATCTCACATCGCACAGACTTAGGTATTTATCTGAAAAATATTTGCAACCCATACGCAATTAAATTGCACAAAGGCGTAAAAGAAGCTTTCGACAAATACAGATGGAAACACGGAGGCGGATCAAAAGAATTTCTCCGGTCAAGGAGTCGCGTCTCTTTAATCGAGTTACAGGTAATTCACCCCTCCGGAGCGTGTCGGTGGCAGGGACGGTCGTGTATTTTATTTCTGTCGTGCTCTGGGCTCTTGGAATAATTAACGTCGGCACACGCTAACCCTTTTAACATGCCTCGTCTAGAAATAACTGACGGAATATTCAAGATTAAAGCGTTAGATGTAAACGAGGGTCGAAGGCGGAGGGGGTGGTCAGACGACCAGCCATAAAAACTGTCGCCAGCTTCCGGCTGACGTTTCGAACACGATTTACCCTTGCTTGGATTCGTCGACAAAGGGGTTGTTCGACGAAAATTTGAAAGCTCCTCCTCAAATGTTCATCCCTTTATCGTGATTACGGTTACCTTCGGTTGGCTTCGTGAAAGATGCCCGGGCTTTTTGGAGCCTTTGATTCCACCTATGATCATGATCATGGAAGCAAATTCGGTGTTAAATTCTTAAATCTAGTACGATGGTTTTTTTAACAAAGCTTCTACATTATTTCTTTGTCAGTTTAAAATTTTTGTATAATTATGAGAACAGATGTTTGTTTGAAATAATTTTCAAATATATTTTGAGAACTATTTTATATTTTTTTAAAGAGAAAGTTATGCAAAGGCTTGTTCTTTGTGATTGAAAATAGAAAACATCGTGTTTGGAGTAAATATGGAGTTCACATTGGTTACTGCATATCGGGTACCGTTCTTAGGGTGATTTACCACCCGCGATAAATTAGGGAATGAATCAACCGACCTAACCCCTCATTGACAGTTCCCAGCTGTAGTGAATTATCGTTCGGTCGGGTTAATGATATGCTGGAACCCTCAAGCAGATTACTTTGTTTTTCTCTACCCACAGAAGATCGATCTCCTTCATGCACCGAAACACCACCCTTTCTCGCTCACGCGATCGTCTCGAGGAAAACACCTGAGAAATAATTTTCATAGGGGTTTCGTTATTAATTTCAGCCCGCGATACGGCTCTGCGTAAGTCGTGTTCGAAAGAAATTTATGAGCTGCGAGATGGTGTTCGAGGAAAATCAACCATATCGACCCAAACGAACCCGAGATTAAGAGTAGTGTTAGCCTTTGAGATAACAAATAATTGCATAATTTATTCCTGCAAACTCTGATGCTTACAGAGAAAGAATCGGAGAATTATTCATATGGCTGTTACTCGTAATCGGATTATTCAATTTCTACCGGGAGTTATTAATCCTAGTCTTGCATGACAGATCTTATTTTGTCGTTTCATTAATCTTATTTAATATGGATTGCTATGGTACTCGATAATTTTACTTATGCATTTCTCTAAAAATAAGGAAATTTAAGTGATAGAATCATGAGAGCCAATTCGAGAGCTGATATTCTAGACCTAATGAATTTTTTCCTCAAAAAGCCAATCCGTAACCGCACCACATTTCCAGCACGTGTATTCGTATCCCCGCAATTTCGTGGCTTTATCGAAATTCATTATAAACTTACAAGTATCCGAGGTATTCGGTCGCAATTACGAAAATGCCACGATGAAACGTTACCGTAGCCGTTCGAGCGACCAATTCGAAATCGGCAGCCCACCCTCTCTGTTAGAGGGGCGTCGCCCTCCTTTAACCCGGCCGTGCTCTGATGGGATCTAATCCGTCGAATTTAATCTACGCGGAACGACGGATCCGAATGGATAATGCCCGCGGTTAGGAACTCTCTATCAGGTGGCAGACCAAACAGAATCAGTATCAGCTACGACCCGCCAAAGGGGACCTCTCTCTCGTCTCGGCTCTACATAAATACTCGGCCGGCATCGGTGCCATTCACACGAAGTTTCTACGTCCGAAGCGGATTTTCACCATGCAATTAACCGCTTGTTTTTAACGCGAGACATTTAATCGTTCATTAAAATTTAATTGTTTGGTAAATATTTGATGGGGCAGATGGGACATGTGTTGGATTTGAAGCTGGAGTTGGTAGATGTGGGGTGTGGACATTTGGTGGGGAAATGTAAGAGCTTGTGGGTGATGTGGAGCTGTAGGGATATGTGGGTGTAATAGATCTGGAGATTTGGGGAACTGGAGATGTGGAGATGTAGAGATATGGAGATGTACAGGTGTAGATGTACACATGTGAAGATGTACACGTGTGGAGATGTGCAGATGTAGGAGATGTACACATGTGGAGATGTAGAGATGTGGAGAGGTGGGAGATGTACACATGTGAAGATGTACACATGTGGAGATGTGGAGACGTGGGAGATGTACACATGTGAAGATGTACACATGTGGAGATATGGAGATGTGGAGATGTGGGAGATATACACATGTGGACATGTGGAGATGTGGAGATGTGGAGATGTATACATGTGGAGATATGAAGATGTGGAGATGTGGAGATGTGGAAGATGTACACATGTGGAGATATAGAGATGTGGAGATGTGGAGATGTAGAAGATATACACATGTGGAGATGTGGAGATGTGGAGATGTACACATGTGGAGATATGAAGATGTGGAGATATGGAAATGTGGGAGATGTACACATGTGGAGATGTGGAGATGTGGGAGATGTACACATGTGGAGATGTGGAGATGTACAGATGTACAGATGTGAAGATGTACACATGTGGAGATATGGAGATGTACAAATGTAGATATATGAATATGTAAAGATGTACAAATATAAACATGTGCAGATATAGAAATATGGATATCAAATTTCTGATAATAACATCGGTATCTAAGAACACATCAACCTGAACATCCACAAACCTAAGAGTTATTGCAACCAGAAAATATGTATCCTATCATCTACAATCCTGACCACCCAAGAATCTAAATATCTATCTAGACACCTAGATACTTGATTAATTTCCCCGAGTGATTAGTGTCCCACAGAAGTACACAATTTACGATCCCCACTATCCAAAGTTCCCGAAGAAGAGGGTTAATCGAGGGACATGAAACTGGGCCGATAACATCGATTCCTGTATACCTCATGTTTTATTGAATACGCTCGTTGGCCTACCTCCTCTTCAACCCTCTCGAGCCGGCACTCAAGCAAGAAAGAAATCATTTGGTCGTCGACTCTCACGGTCAGAAGCGCACCACGAAATGACCTCGTTAGGTCTGCGATTCCATTCCCGCCTTTGTCATGTTCGTTTTGGCTGGCTCTTTAATCCGCGGATTCTTTTACCTCGAACAGGAGACTCAAGTGCCTTCTGAAATTTGATGCTTATGTTTTGTGTCTCTTACCCTAAACTCATCTGAATGATGTTGAAGACTTTTTGAAAAAAATTCACACGTTAATTTTGGGGATTTAAAGTATTTCAGAGGGAAACTTGTTGAATTAGGATTTGCAAGTTTGAAAGCTTACGAAAGATTATCTGAAAGTTTGAGTGGCATTTTTTTTACGATCCCTTCACCCGATCCGATCTAAATTTTTATTGTATCGAGAAGTTCTTTTTTCGAGCGTTAGCGTTCACCGTCACAGGCGAGTAGGAGAGTTGAGCGTTAGTTGGCGTGCAATGAGGCCAGATGTCATCTAACTTTCCGATCGAGTTGCAAATTCGCTGGTAACTTCCTTTGAAATTTAGTGGCTGGGAGAGCAGGACGACATTGTTACGAGTTCATTCGTACACCTTCCGGTAAATTGGAAAATACATGGCTGCTCTGAAATCCATTGAAAATCGTATTCTTTCAGCGACTCGAAGAATTCACTTAAAATTCGCCGCAATTAACATTTCACACAGATTTCACGTATATTTATTGCTAGAATATCGAAGTTTCAGGAAGATAACCTGATGCTGTAATTTGGCTGACGATGGAATCACGTGCTAAGTTGCATTCTAGACACCATTTTGTAACTACTGATTCTCAAAATGGCGGAGTTGATGAGGGTCTCCATCAAGGGTACAATAAAGCAATAGATTTAATAATAAAAAGAAACATCAGGGAGTTTGTATATTTTTGTATGAGGAAATTTTTGAGCTGAATTTTAAGAACATAGCAAAAGTGGAGTTTAAGATA